AGAAATGTGAGGCGGCTGGACAAGAATTCCTACTGCCATAACATCAGTTATTGCTAAGAAGGCCAGTCCTATGTTGGACAGACTTTGCAGTCGCGCCTTCATCTTCACGGCCATCACTACCAGAACGTTCAACACGATGGTGAATGGACAGGCCATCGCGAGAATGAATATATTGAAGACGATAACGCTGTACGTTTATGCGGAAAAGTGCTCTGGTACTCCACCAATGAAATGGTGCAAGTCACATTTTAAGGGGCTTGTATTCCGGCTTGAGTTCATGGCAGACGGTTTCTTCGGTTTTATCGCCAATCTTCCCTTTTTTGCGAGAGGTAAACTCAGTCTGTGTGCTGTGCAGTCTGTTATCTCTTTTCAATAATGTAATGTGAACTAAGTTTGGTTTTCACATGTATTCAAATGGCTATATGTGCGTTGTTCGTACTTTTGGTGGGCTTGTGTCTTTTCCTGTTCATTATTTTGAAACACCTTTAATTATGGACCTTTATGTTCTCTTAAAACATTAATAAAAGAGCAACTTTTATGCAACCTTTCCTGGATGGTTAATTTACAGAAAGTGTGTAGGTGTATCTGAATAAAATAATTCCGGACTGAAACACCACTCGTCTTACCTGACTTAGCAGATTAAGTCGTGAGAAACAAGATATTTTAAATAATTTTGTACAGTGGTTTCCCTCGTCAAGTGAAATCCCACGTTTTTTGACAAAAAATAATCGCTGATGATTTTAAGTTGGATATCGCGTCGTAAATTGGGCAAATCTGTTACAAGAAACAAGGTGAAACGGAACAATAAATGCAATAATCTGTAGTGAATGTACCGTTAAATCAAATTAAAATTTTGCTAGCCTGCCATTTTGCAACTGACGACCAGCAAAACGCTTCGAGACGTCGCTTTTAGACTAAAACCTAAAAATTCCCATCAAGACGCAATTTTAATTTCATTTGTTTATATCTCACGATAAGAGGAAAATGTTTTTAAAAACTCTACTACTTATCCATTGTTTCATAATTTCTCTATATGCGTGAGAGTTTTTTTAAAAGGGGAGATTTTTTAACATGATGTTCTGCCGACTCAATGAATTCCTGCAGCGGTTACCATTTATTGATTTGTAATTAGAGTTTCATCTCTGATTCATTGTTTTATCCCTTCAACGTTTATTTTGATGACTTTTTTTCTTGCTTAAAATGATAAGAACACTACGGAAGTATGTTACAAGAGTTATATGTTTGGTTTTTACAAACAGGCGCTGTTTGTGAGAAGTAAGGTTTATGATATTAATAACGTGATATATTTCATGTCCTTTGTATAGGTGATCATAAGGTTTCGAGTTCAATTGGGAATTAATTTGCACGAGTGAGTTTTTAAAAACACTGAAATTGCACTCGCCGCTTTTTAAAAAAAACTCACAAGTGCTAATTAATTCCAAATTGAACGAGAAAACCGAATGATTACTTATTAATAATATAAACATGAAAAAAACAAAAAAAAAAATCGCGTGGAGGAAATACAGAAGATCTTTCTTGAAGCCACTTTTTCTCGTTCGAGAACTTTTTTCAAAGCTTCCGCACTAAGTTTTCGTCATCATTTTACGTGATATCATTGGCTTAGAAAATTCCCTATTGTCTTTCAGCCAATCATAATCTAGAATTACGATATGTAATTTGCACTGGTGTTACACTTTTTGCACTGGTGTTACACCTGAACTGCACTGCTCTCAGCCAATCAGAATCGAGTAATTCATGTATATTACTATGGTCGAAAAGGATTTGGCGATGAATGAAACTTTGCATGCTAAAAGTAGTGGAAGAAAAGCTAAATGTTGTTAAAAAATAAAACAGTTTTAATATGTGTTCTTGATAAATAAGTCCGTGAATTTTTTTAGATGTTATATTCCCTCAACACAATTTGTTGCTTTTATGGTTTACGGAGTTTAAGAGGATCGAAACTTCTCACGGTTTTGAGGCTTGTATCGGGCAACTTTACAAAGTCAACAGCAGGCCAATTTGATTTAGGAAAGAAAAAATAAAAGTAAAACATTTGAGTTACAAAAATTATGTTGAGATTTTGAAAAAGAAATGACGCTAAGATTTTTGGCACAAGACAGCATTCTATGTTTCATACAATCGAATTTTAATAGAACTTAAGTTCAATTTCCCGTTTTGGCTTAACATAATGTATGGGCTAGTAAAATTTTGAAATGCGTTGGCCTTATTAAACATGAATTAAAACTGGGAAAGTGGAATAATAATTTAGCCAATGTCGTACAATATGAATAATTTTTCGCTATACAATTATGACAAATTAAATTCAACACTCAAACTATTTGGAATGGAATCGCAAGTTTAATAAATTTATTCATAAAATCTACAAAAATGATTACTAACGGCATCACCACGAAAGCACTTATTGTCTAAAATTTAGGATTCGAAAAAAAAATTGCCAAGCCGGGTAACGAAACTGTGAAAACGAGTCTGAAAGAAGCACCCGACGAAAGCAATTAAAAAGACTCTTAACTGCTAAAAGACTTTTTTTAACTGCTTCCGTCAAGTGCTTGTGGCGACCAGAATGGCGAATTACTATTTCAAGTAAGAATTTGTCCAAATCTCCAGATGAATGCATGTTTACGTTTAAACAATTTGGCAACATTCGCTCGCTACATTTATGCGTAGGAAGACACTATTTCGTCCAAATCCGGCGCCAGATCCCGGAGGGTGGGTACGGCTACACGTAGGCTAGAATTTATCAAATCCAGCACAAGCTGATGTTTACAATATTACGACACCAAAATTGTGACGAACAAGTAGCACATGCTGGTCGAGCAATGGGCGTTTTATATACTAGAGATGCATAACCCGTTAGGGCGAAATCGGGAAAATTATTTTTTTCTTAAATGCGATTTATTACGCGTCGCAGTATAAAAAGTACAAAAGGCGGATTATGCACCATCTGCTTCAGTGTATCTTCAACGACGAACTAACGACTTTTCTGTTTGTATAAAAAAAAGATGCAGGACGGATGGTCCACCGAAACAAACTGTCAGCTTAAGTGCGTGTTGAACGACGAACTTAGAGCATAGTGTAGGTGACAAACCGTCCCGCTTTCGGATTATGCGTCTCTGGAATAAAAAGGGGCCAGTAACGATTTCTTGAGGAGATTTTTCGGGCAAAATATGCCAGAAAAACTAACCTGGCTTTAAACCGTTCACTATGTCATTGGAAGATAAAATTATTGAAAACACTCTTTAACTCTACAAGACTCTTGCACAAATGCATCTGTCGCTTATCTCAAAGCTGGCAATCAAAATTTAAAACGCTAGTTTCACTTAACAATGGCCAGCTAGGTGTGGTGAACTTTATATTACATTGTAACTTCAGCTCGGCAGTGTGTCATGATTTTGGCCTCATTGCATACCTGTAAAGTGAAAAGATGCCAGGTAAGAGGAAAAAACTAGTACAGAGGACCGTTGGGGAATTTTCGTCTCATTAGCTTACAACTGTTTCGACAAAAATTGTTTCACAAAAGCGTAAAAGCTTACGCGACAATGTCTCGAGATCAACCTCGTTCCCAGGGTCTCTCATCTTTTCATCTATCATACTGAAACATCTTGAGCTTCAATCAAGCAACCAAAAGCCACCATTACCCATAATACCTTTCGACATCGTTCTTGTAGGACAACCTTTCTCAAAACAGCTGTAAACGCTTCAGGGCCACGCTCGATTAAATGTTCCAAGAAATTTGAGCGATATATATGAAATACTTTTGGTGTGATGCGGGTTGTAAAACTCAAACTTCTACAGCGAATGTATGGGCTTATTAGGGCTTTTGTCGCCCAGAAATTTTGCAGCTTTAATGTATCTTTCAATAGTACACCCAAAGAGCTAAAAATTCAACAAATTACTAAGTTTCACAAGTTATTTAAATGTTTGGCGTTAATTGGCAATCAGCATGACGCCTCCTCGACGCACAGTCGTGTGTAAGGAGGCAAAATGTGAACGATGTCGGCAAGAATTTAGAAAAAAATAATTACAGTAAATCAACTAACGTGACATACATTTTCACTCTGTAGAGTTCTCCAGGAAAGTTCTTCTGAACTTCATCCTTGATCACAGTGAGTGATGACTTCGCAAATAATTCTCTAAGCTTCTCGTCTGACCTGAAATAAATGTTTAAAAAATCACTCTGGCCATATACCCTCAGACAATCTACAGTTGTAGTAAACCAATCAAAGCTCTTAGCAGATACATGTAGCTGATGGCAAGGCACAGGAAAACATGTGTGAAACAGTTATTGGTTTTGGTTTTACGTCTAAATAGACGAGAAAGCGCCGCAAGTATTTTTACACTTATCACTAGGCGTGGTAATGCACAACCAAAGCACATGTGGATTATTTTTCAACAGTCAAGTAGAAACTGCTTTAACCTAACAGCATGCTGACGGGTATCTTGCAACAGTCAAGTAGAAACTGCGTTAACCTAACAGCATGCTGACGGGTATCTTGCAACAGTCAAGTAGAAACTGCTTTAACCTAACAGCATGCTGATGAGTATCTTGCAATGGCCCAGCAAGTTGCCACACAACAGAAACCTGGATAAACACAGGTGGTATGGGACACTTTGTCTGAATGCAAACCCAGTATTTCTAAAGACAATCTCATACACATTGCCTTGGGGGTGGGGGGGGGGAGGGGAAAGGAAGGGGGGAACCCCCATATAAAAGAGAAGGGGATGCTCGCTGTACCTCTTAGGGGTTAAAAAGGGGTTTTTGGTATCTCTTGGGGTGTTCAGCCTCAAAAGATCCCCAGCAGAAGCTTTTGCACGCAGTACCTTTTAGGGTATTTAGCTGATATAATATACCGGTAATATAATTCCTGACGAGCACCCCCATCCTTTTTACATGGGAGTCTCCCCAGAATGCATTGTTTCCTTACCTAGTTACACTGCTGTCCTCAGAGTCCATATCCACTCCAGTCTTTGTAATATTTTCCTTGACACATATCAATCCACCTGGTGCTAGTCCTAACTGACATCGCTCAAAGAAATCCACAAAGTCATCTGTTTGAGTCCAACAATAAACAATAAATTAATGTTTTTCAAGGAGCCAAAAAGAAAGAAAAGTTAAATTCAGTTATGGGTTAAATCAGTTTATTCTGAGCACAGAATGGAAAAGGGTCTTGTCTTTCCCTTGGTTTTTCACCGTTCATTTTTGTCTTCAGAACCTTCCTGGTGAACCTTACTTAAAAGATTTTATTTCCAGCGTAGAGATTACATGTATGTAGTTTTTGTCTCTACATCATTGTGGGAAAAGCGATCAACTTGGAACTTGTAAACTTTAGATGCAACAACCACATATTTTGACAAAATTACCCTAACAATGTATCAATGTGGCTGCAATTTGAATTGATTATACTAACAGGAAATATAAAGGAAGTCAGACTTCCTGATTGATGGCAAGAGTTAACAAGTTCACCTATTTACTCACCATCTGTCAGATGTCCCAACACCCACTGAACCCAGATTACACTGTATCGTCCTGTTTCTGGTTTGAAATCCTACAAAAATAATAAGGTAATATAAAATACATGAGCTTTCAATGCAGTGTGACATTGCTGCTGTAGAACTCTTCTTTGGAAACACAAGACTATTGTCCACAAAAATGAAGCCACGTTTGTGTGCCAGTGACAGACAAACTGTTGGTTGAGAAGTCTTCTATTATTAATGGCTGAACTGGTCTGCAATGAAAAGGATAATTCTGGAGGTGTGCACGTTAAAAGGACCTAGGGAGGGCCCAAATGAGGTGAAAAAGGGCCCAAAAGGAGGTGTGTGAGTTCGGACTCAAAAATAGCCCAAATGAGGAATGGGGGTTACAAGGGCCTTAAAGGATATGTGTGATCTAAAAAGGGCCCAAATGAGGTGTGAGGGTTATGAGAACCTAACAGGAGGGCCTAAAAGAGGAATGTGTTATAAGGACCTACAGGGCGCAGCTAAAGAAGGGCTTAAAAGGTCAGCCTACACACACTGAGAATTCTGAAAGTAACGGCCCCTGTTACTTTTGGATTTAGCAGGCAAAAGGGGCTGCTACTTTTGAGTAGCCGTTACTTTCGGATGGTCAAAAAACATTTGTGCAGTAACAGTCATTTTAGACAAAGCGGAAGCGTAACAAATGAAATTAAACGTTCCGTTTGAATGTATGCTTCCAACAACCCACATGAACAAAGCAGACTGTATAAATAAAAAAGGCCCTAATCCGGTTGGTACTCAAATCGAAAGTATACTGGTTGCATTATATCACAATGCAACTGAATACCCTACAGCATATCATTTAACTCTGCTGCTAGACAAATACACATGTACAGCTTATAAATCACAGTTTCAAGAGAAATTCAGTCCAGCTCAAAATAAAATCACAGATAGCTCTTCAAGTCAATGTTCAGTCATGCAGTCATGCTGTTCGATCCGCATGACCCGCAGTTGAGAACAGAGACTTTCTCTTTTAGTGACTGCTTCAAAGGGCCACCACTTTGGGTGGGCCGTTACTTTGGGTGAGCCACTACTTTCGGGGGGCGGGGGATGGTTACTTTTGGGCTTCAATAGGAAGGGACAAAATTAACATCACTTTTAGGGAGCCATTATTTTCGGGGGTGGGGGGCATTACTTTTGGAAATTCCACGGTACTTTGTAACAGAAGTGCCAGTTATACATTTAAGGGCTTAACAGGACCTTTCTTTGTAAAGAGGTATGGGGGTCATCATAGCCTAAATGGAGGTTGTATGGGGGCTAACAAATCTGCACCTGCAATCCTTGGGCATAAAAGTGTCCTATTCTATCCTTTTTCTCTCCCTGTAAGTAAGAAAAGTTCCACAGTTGACATGTCAATACATATAGTTGTATAATGGGAGGTAACTATGCCAAATTACTGTTCAGTTATTTCCAGCTAAGAGAGTACAGTCGAACCTCTATCAAGTAGCCACTTGCAGGGACAAGACAACTGGCCACTCAATAGAGGTGGCTGTTTAATAGAGGTTCACCTGAAAACAATGTTGGGCGTGGTCTAGTTTCCAGTTCACCAAATACAAGTACAAACAAATTAAAGTGGAGAAAAAAGTAGAACAATGATGGCTATAATAAGGTCCATAAAGTTAACAAAAGTTAAAGGAACAATTATTTGAACAGACGCGATGTGTCTGTCAACCCAACACTGGTTCGTGCGCTGTACAAACAAACTAAAACGCTTTGAGACTTTGTTTTGTGATTGTTTTAATCAAATACTGCTGAAAATTATGTGTTTTTACAGTCTTCCACTTCGTCATTCTTTTACCTTCATCTGGCTAAAAATGTCCAACTTCAAATCTTCCTGGCCTTTTAATAGAGGTATAAAACAAAACAAAGTAACCCCTGGGACGACAAGAAGCTGACCGTGACCGCTTAATAGAGGTGGCCGTTAAACAGAGGTTTTTATTACAGTGTCTACCTAACAATTTTTCCAGGACTTTGGCCTCTGGTCGCCAAATAAAGGCCGCTTAATTGGGGGACACTTAGTAGGGAACAGCTTAATAGAGGTTTGACTCTATTTTGAAATTTTGGCTACGTACCAGATAATCTTTTGCTTTTTGCAAAAATGCAGGGTTTTGTTCAACCATGTCCACAGTGTCAAACAGTGGTAACAGCAAGTTCTTTGTGACACGACCAATGCCAGCCCCACAGTCTGCAAACAATTTAAACAACAACAAGGAAGCATAACTAAAAAATAAACTCTGTTGCATTAACTGCATCAAAAAGAGCTGGAAAACATCTTAAAGTTCCAGCAAGTAATGCTGGAACTTTAAGTTATGCTCAGCTGTCAGGTGCTCTACTAATGGTGCCACTTACATGTACTTCAATTCTCACTCAGGTTTCTGTACCAAATCACTGTTTTAACCCATTTATACTCCAGAGTCGGAGGAAAGAAGAACAGTTACTAGCAATCACTGGGCCACTGTATCTCTAGTATGATACCTTTTGTTAAATGATGTTTTTTGGTATGCTTGTGCTAAAAAAAAGTCACCTAAAATGTTGTCAGTTACCTAGCATCAAATTACAAATTTATACACTCACCTAGGGCAATGGATGGCTTGATTTTGCTAGTTATGGAAGTGTCATTAGTTGAAGAAGGCTCAATGCGTCTAACCTTTGCAGGAGTCTTCTCATCACATTCATCAGGCAACTGAACAAGATAAGGATGAACACAATCTCCTCATTCTCTTATAATCTAACAATCCAATCAGCATAGAGCGTTCAAACTAAAAATATGCAGTTACAACAAATATCCATACCTAACCTACATTGAAAGAATTAGGCTGGGACAATTTAGACACTCGACATCAAAAACTAAAGGCTGAGATGGTCTATAAGTCCTTAAATGGCCTCACACCCAATTATTTGTACTCAAAATTCATTCAGCAGAGCGATGTGATTACTTCTCACAATTTGCACCATTCTGATAATAAGCTTGCTATTCCCTTGCCACATACTAACCATTACAAAAACAACTTTGGCTATAGTGGTGCAGTCCTCTGGTACAATCTACCCTCAGCCGCTAGACAAGCAACATCTCTGACTAATTTCCAACACCTGTTAATTAATTCCGACACGGCATTCATGTAAAACAGGCTTTAATTTAGTTTACTTTTCTTTAATAGTTAGCAATATTTTTAAATTACATCTTGGAGATTAATCTGTACACATACAGTGGTCTTCCGTGATAAGTTTTAGCTTTTATATTAAATTGTTAATGCCTGATGTATTTACCGTGTTTTTAAATGATGATGATGATGATGATGACGACGACAACGACATGTCAGGAAATTTTGAGGGGGACAGTTTTGAAAGTAAGGGAAAGTTTACAAAGGAAAGGAGGGGAAGTTCAATTAAATCTTTCAAAGGGTTGAGAGATTCACACCTGTCCAACAATTCGTGAGTGTGAAGAGTGTTCATCCATATTTTCTAGAAGAACACAATATGCAGAGAAATGTCTCTTCAGGGAAAGGTTAAAATCATGATTAAATAATATCTTGATCCCCCTCAAGGTAACAACGTAACAAGAACGTATCTGTAAGCACAGGGTTCATACACTTTTTAAGAAAAAAAACCAAGGACTTTTAAAGGACTTTCAACGACCTTTAAGTAAAGGCTTCACTTACCTCTAAAAAGCTCTTTAAAAATTGCTTTGAATCCTTAATGTCTGTAGGCGAAATGTGAGCATAACCTCCTAACATCCCATTAACTGTGGCAGGAATGTTCTGACAAAATTACAACATAAAAACAAATAAGAAAAACTCTTAAAGGTATCATAAGGTGAGATAAAGGTAAGATAAAGGTATCATAAGGTATCATAAAATAAGAGTAGATAATGAAAAAAAAAACAGTCCTTTTCTTTATTTGTTATTTTTTAACAATAACACTGAAAATTATTCAGCAAATTAGGGGGAAAATCAGTTTGTACATTGTATCACTTTTTTCTGCTTGAAAGTGACAAATTTACCTAGTGCAGACCTTACCTGACTTCAACAAAGTGAATTGAAAACAGAAGTAAAATTCTGAGTGTAAAAAGCATCCATAAAAAATTTTCTTAGCAGACTAGATTTAAATTTTCTGAAAGTCTGTAGCTGATGAAAATAGGTTTGTTCAGAGATCAAACAGTCAATATTTTCAGTGTTGAATTTATAATCTTTTATAATATAGATAGGACCCTGCACGTGTTCTGATTTGTCGAAAAGCCATGTTTTATCAGAGTTTAAAACATAGAAAAAGCATGTTTTATTGTTTTTCGCCACATTACCTCTATTACTTCGGACATTTGAGAACACTCGAGAAATGTAGAAAACACTCGCCTGCGGCTCATGTTTTCTACGTTTCCCTTGTGTTCTCAAAAAAATGCCTGTTGTGTTTTATCACAGTGTAATACATGGCTCAGGCTTCTTTATTTGTTAAGTAAAAACTAATCCAGGAATCTAGCCAAATACCCCCCAGTTATATACCTATCTACCTGTGAACCAAAAATTCCATCCAGCTATAGGTCTCACCCCAGATATATAAGTACCCCCTCTAGCTTTCCTTGGTTTGAATTTGTTTTATTATGGTATTTTGAAGCTTAATACCAGTAAATGAAAATCCTATTTCCATCAACATGTACAGCTACAGCTTGTTCCAAAATGTCTTTTATTTTTTATTTATTCTGGTTATAAGTCCCCTTGAATATAAGCCCCTCAGTTTATAAGCCCATCTAAAAGCCCTTACAAAGTTGTGTTAGCCCAGGGCTTATAAGCGACAGTTTGCGGTATTGCCACTCCAAAGCAACCTTTTCTTCCTGTCTGGGCCCTGTCAGGTTTAAGGGACAGGATGAGAGTCACCACAAATGGGCGAATTGACTGTGATTTTGTGTTTTATTGATTGTATTCATATCTTTTTTTGCATTTTTTCAATTTTTTATCATCCTATTAACATTTTTTACATGGCCCCATAAGCTATATTAGCTTTCAAACCCACTGTGTTTTAATAAAAGATGTTGTTGTTGTTACTGTAAGCAAATACAACTTGTCAGAAGTTGGAAGCCATCTTGACACTTGACACACTATACCTGACAAGATGGCTCCAAAAACTGTGATAACAGCTGAATATGAGGTTACAGAAATCTTTGGAATTTTTTCAGAATCCTTGCACTACCACAATATAAATCCCATGTACAGTCAACTTTCCAAAAATGGACACCACTGTGAGATCACTGGACACCTCCGGGGGACACCTCTCTGAGACAGTCATAAGTGGCTGGCTGCTTGAATTCCAAACTCTCTTTATGCTGGAGAACTCTCTAAGGTGGATAGTTAGGACTAGTCAATAGAATGTCCTCTTGGGCTTGAGAGGGGTTTGTTTCAGTAGACTCAATTCTGAACGGAAGAATGGTTACTGCAGTGACGCTACACAGTTTCTAACCCCATATTGACCGTAGTATTGTTTGTTGATTGTACACGATTCCTCAGGGAAAAACTACAAATATGAAAGAATTAATCCCTTACTTTCCAGTAATCTGCAGCATCCCCATACCACTTTCCTCTATCCTGCATTTCTGTAGGGATGTCACTTTCAGCGGAGGCCATTCTGAATGAAAAAATTAATGTTTGTATCAAGTTGAACTCCCGACCTCTGTAGGCAGTGTTAGTTAAATTAAACATGTAAGATCATAATTCTCACATCATTATTTCTCTTTCACTAACTTCGACAAGGGAAAAGGCAGATCGCTTCTCTGGTAGGTGTGATAACAAGCCGCAAAGAACCTTACTGCATAACAACCTTTCTGAAGGGCGCCATATTGCATTATCGCGCGGGAATCGCTAACAGCACGTGCGGGCCTGGAACGAGGCCAGTTTATAGGTTATGTATTTAACCTGTAATGTCCTCCATTCTCAATGAGTGGAGCAAGTTGAGCATAACCTCACCCATATGCACCGTGTAATTCCTTTCCTTTTCTCTCCCAGACCGCGCTCGTCGCCCGATCGGTCGCTCGGAATCGCTTGGAACAGGTTAAGATGTAGGCGCTCCGTATTCAGATATGACGGTCCACAAAAAATCTTGGAGCTCCGTGTGTACGCCATTTTCTTTTTTCTCCCAGACCCTACTCTTCGCCTAACAGTTAAAAAAATTTACATACATTAGGTTCAGAGCCACCTTAAATTTTCAAAATTTTAGGATGACTCTCAACCCCCTATACAATTTTTTTTTTAAAACCTTGCCAAAAGTTGCGCCTTATCCTGCTTATCAAAATTTGATAAGTAAAAAAATTTTCACCGTGCCGTTTTTCACTTGTAAGCCATTAAAACTATAACTAAGGGCGCTTTTGGCAGCTCAAACTGTTGCTATGGTAACTTATTGTGTCACGAGAATGATAAAAATGCGTTAAACAATGATTGGGCAGTTTTTTGATACCATGATTGTAGCGTCAATTGATAAATGGTGGTTATGACCCATCAAAATCTAAGTCTTGTGAAGTGTTGGAAAGTGTTTTTAGCCACCTTAAGCGTCTTAAAAAGTGTCAGTAGCAAAGTTTAAAAGCTTTTTAACTTAACTAGGATTTAACTGCAAATTTTGATTTAAATTGAACGGTGCAAAAATTATGACGAGCAAGTTTCATGGCACGAGACGAGGATCCCCTTAGTGAACTGAAGATTAAATGTAGCGCACCAGGGGCCCGTTTCTCGTAAGTCCCGAAAACATTTCGCACCCAGAAAGCTGTAGCAGAATCTCAAACCTTATGCTATGATTAAAGAGCTGTTTTATTCACGTACTCTTAATATGAGCAGAAGTTCCCTTCATACAAGAAGTTTCAAGCGTACACACAAAGGCTCTCTGTTCTTAAACACAGATGGACAAAAAAATGGCTTTGCGGACCCGAAAAGTTTCCGCGAGAAACGGGCCCCAGGCCCTTCAAAGGATCGTTTCGCTCGTCTCTCGTGGCTAGCTAGATCGAAGGAAGAGCAAATTGTTCTTGTAATAGACCATTTTCGTATTCTCGGTATTGGACTGGGACTAGCATGCAAATGAGGCTCATGCGGGGAAATGTCATTAAAAACATATGATTGTCATTTACATTTAAAAAGACTCAGCGCATTAGCGTCAATTGCAAGTTAGTTCCAGTGCAATACAGTGAATAATAACTTGCAGAGAATAACTTGCAACAGTTAATCAAACAGCCG